AAGGAAAAACACCACAACTCTTAATGGTTGTCTCTTGGGAAGATTTTTAAAATTGAAAGTGAAATATTTTCTAATTCTAATAATTGTTAGGATATTAACAACATGGAGAGAATTGAGTGCAGCTTTGGCACAGTGATTCAGTTTTTAAGGCTTTAGCAAAAGGGAGAGTCAAAAATAATTTAGAGAAAAATGTAGGTCCTTCTGTGCTCAGGTAGCAGCAGATGGAGGTGCAGAGAGTGACCCAGGACTACAGAAGGGAGGGTGTGCTCATTTTCTAGGTACCCAAAGCTGCTGCTCCTCAGGTTTGACTCCTAGGGTCTTTAGACACTGTCACTTTCTGGTATCCTGACAATTCCTCTGCTTAAAATATTTTCAGCAAGAAAGCACTAGAAATGTCAAGAAACCATTTTGCCTGTTAGCCTGAAATATTAACTTCAGAACACCTGGGTCATTTGTTTAAAAAAGTAAAACCAAAACAAAGCAAATCCCTGATTTTCCAGAGTTTACCTCCAGGAATAGAGACTCTTTCAGACTAGCAAGGTTCTGGAGTGTATGTCTGTTTCTTTTCTCCTTCTTCTCCTTCTTTCTTTCTTTTCTTCTTTTCTTCTTCCGCCTCCTCCTTCTCTTCCTCCTCCTTGTCCTCCCTCCTCCTTCTTCTTCCCTTCTCTTCTTTCTCTTCCTCCTCCTTCTTTCTCTTCTTTCTCTTCCTTCTTCTTCTTTTTTCCTTTTCTTTCTTTCTTTCTTTTTTTTTTTTTTCATTGCCAGTGCGCACATGTGTGAGGGAGAAAGAGAAAGTAAGGACAAAGTATCCCTGGGCTGAGATCATTCCGCAATCTCTTTTCTTACATTTCTCCATCCTTTGGGGACTTGGGACGTGCACACATGTATACCTGATGTGTTTTTTATATTCCTGGGGTGAGATTAGAATCACAACTGGCCATGGATCTGGCTCCTTTAACCACTAGGCTACAGAGCTGGCCCAGGAGTGTATGTTTCTAACACTGCCAAATGATTGTGATGCAGTTCAGGAACCACTGAAAAAGGACCGGAGGGTCCTCGGGTGATTATCTTGGAGTATCTAGCCTAGACGGTCATGAAGAGTGATGAAAAATGTGATCTTACATGGTACAAGGAAGGCAAGAGAAGAGTGGTCTAGCTGCTGTTCCTAAGCTATTCCTAATTAGAACTGTGCACAGCTCCTTGACCTGGAGAGTGGTTTGCATATAAAGCTCTGATTTGGAAACATAGATGTGGACTTCAATGTGAATGTGCATTATATATTTAGCTGTCTTGATTTTTTTCCAAGTATCAAATAAATATTAATGCCTCTTTTCTACTGGTGAATATAAAGGCAGAACACAGTATGGAAAAAATGCCATATTTATTAAATATAAATTTTAAAAATATAGAGACTCTATAACATACATTACACATATGTTATTTCCTTATAAAAGGACATTAATTTTTCAACTGAGACTTAGGAAAATAAAAATATGGGATGGAAGGGGGAAGACAGAGGTCAAATTGGTTGATAGAACTTAGATTAATGGCAAAATGAACAACTACCAAAAGAAGGTAACTATTTTTTGTCACTTCTTAAGAGTCACAAGATAAATTGTCACATTAAACATTATTTGACGTCTCCATGATAATGATATGGACAGGTGTCTACATGTTACAGGATACCAGCTCGCCAATTGTATAATTTATATCTTATCCAGATGAAAAAGTGTAGCTCATTAATGCAAATAACAACTGTGTCCGTGCTTGAAGAAAAGACAGCTTCACGATTAAATTGCTGATATATTGGAAAAGAACGGATAGCTACCTAGAGAACTGCCCAGTGACCCAGTTCCCATGGCATGGCACGGTGTAGGACTTGAGTGAAACCTAGGGATTGTATAAAAGTAAAATTTTATCTTCCATTGAATGTAAAGAAACTTAGTAGTGAGTTGCCACAAACATCTATATAACCGTATTTTGCTTTAAATAACCAAGAAACACTTATGAAAAGGGTAACTTCTGCCATACTCAGTCGTATTTCTAAACATCTTAGGTTTGTCTTAAGTTCTATCACCACATAAATGCAATGTAATGTATGTTTATCATTTTATACTTGTTTTTTCCCCCAACAACTGAAATAGCTGAGCAAAAGCAGATGACACTGGCAAAATATTGTAATTCTTTACAAACAGAATTAGAGCCAATTTACACATCATCACATAGAAACTGTCTATTGATATAGCTCCAAATATTCTGTTTGTTTGACCCTCGGCTGTACTTCTTCATTCCCAGTCTAGTATTTTCTGTTAAATTATAGGGTTGGTTTTTTTTTTTTTATTTTGTCACTATCAAACTGTCCATCAAGGCAAAATTACTCCCTTTCATTTCAATCCTTCTCTTGACTATTTATTTAATGCTCTTTGTCAACCCTACAAGCTTTTGTTTTTGCTTGACTGCTCCTTTCATACATCAGTCTCACTTTCTACAATAACTTGTCACTTCAGAATCTAAAACGGTCCTTTCCAAAGGTAGAAGAGATGCTCCCTTTTAGTATGCTGTAGGGCACATGAGTTTGCTGGAGAAACACAGAGAGAGAGAATGAGAGAGAGACAGTGCAAGTGATAAATTACCCCCCTACGGGTGATGGCCATGCCACAATCTGTTTTCTCCAGTCTCTCGAGATTTTGGGCATACACTCACGTACCCAGAATGTTTTTCAAGCCCTTGAACTGGGACTCAAATCAGAGTCGGCCATGTAAGATCCAATCCTTTAACCTCAACACCACCTGTTGGCCCAAGCTCCTTTTTGAATGGCCACCAGCATCATTTGTTTAAAAAGGTAATAGAAAACTGGCCTGCCTACCTCCCACTCTTATTTCACCATTCTTTAACACCATTGGGCTGTTATCAAAGACTCCCACTGACTGATAGTTTAAATGGCTGGTTCTTAGCATAGCTTTATGGATCAGCCATCTCTTCTATTTTTCATCCAGGGAATCCCAGGTCCGATTTATTTTATTTCTTTTTATGGCCTCTATCTATAGTCAAGGATGCAGTCATTAGAAATGCAATGTTGTGTAGTGGGGAAGACTCCCCTGAATTTCATTTACTTTATACAAGGGGAATACAGCTTGTAGTTCAACACCAGATGGGCAACTCCTTTAAATTCAGATAGTGTGCATATTTCTAAGAAGCCTACATAATCCTACTTTTAGTGACATTATTTAGAATTCATTCCTAAGCTCTTAGAAAGTCTTTGCTTTGGTATTTTTAATTATTAAATAATCTTTTGACTACTTCATCCTTTTCTAAACCCTCCAATTACTACTCTGCTGAAAACTAGCTCTGTATTCTCTATGCCTGCCATGTGTCATGTTATTCTGTCTTCTCAGCTGTGATGAGCCTTTGCTAAGGTTGTCTATATCAAAGCACAGAAGCATTTTTTTCTAGCTTTTAGCATAACCATACTATACGTTAATATCCAGTGTGATACAATGGGAAGTCTTAGCTTGGGAGTTAAGTCTTCTCGCTCTACTAACAGCCAAATATTTCTTGTACCCTCAAAACCTTCATTTTCATCAGTTAAATAGAAGACTATCAATTAAGATAGATTGAACTAAATAACTTTTGGAACGCCTTTCGGTTCTATAGACTTAGGTTTTTTTCTCATCCCCAGTAATGAGGAAGTCCTAGGTTTAAAACTGATCAAAACTTAAGTAGAGGACCAACTCTGTAGCCTTATGGTTGAGGCAGACGGATCCTATGTGGCTGAATGCGTGGTTCGAATTCCAGACCTGATGTCTTGAGGAAAAAGTTGGACATGTGTGTGTGTGCCCGAAAGCTCAAAGGAAGGGAGAGATGGAGAAGGGATGGCAGTGTGAGCATCCCCATGGGAATGCTTTCTCACTTTCCTTCTCTCTGTCTCTCTCTGGCAAGAGCACCTACTCTCTGGCACATATATACAAAAAAAAAGAAGAATGCATAAGTGGAAAGATTAAACTCAAAAGGAACTGTAAAGTGTACAATCAAAACAATGATTTTTTTTTTTTTTTGGTTGAGAAAACATTCTGAAGTAGCCATTTTTTATTTCTCAGGCTATAAGTATATAAGTAATACTGAGACAAATGGAACTTTTACTTGAATTGTGATGTGTATTTATGTAGTCTTTGTTTTTGAAAGAAAGTTTCTGCACATAATGACACATTGTGTTAAAATGGTATATTTCAGAACGATCTATTTTTTTTCCCCTCTGGGCAGAGGACAGACTTAAAAGCCACATAAGTCACTGCTTATGAAGAAACTGGAAAGCAGACATAACTATAATGTAGAGTATGTACAAATTGCACTTGATATGCCTTGGAGAAACATTTCAGAATAAAATTAGGAATAAATGATATATATATTATTATCAGAGTTTGAGAAGAGTGTGTGTGTGTGCGTGTGCTCATCGGCATTTTTACTTCGGTTCTTAGATACCTATTCTTTGAGTAACATACATCAGCATTTTGCTTGGGCATGCATCCAGACTCAGGGTTACCAAGCAAGAACTGTCCTCATTTATCAGACAAGTAAAATAAGCAAAGGTCCTTAACACAGACAGCTTCTCAAGTCACATGGTAAAACAGTGATTGAACAAGTAATACATCTTTGCAGGTTAAGATTGCAATTCAGTCTCGGCCATGTAGGCTCTGTTGCTTACTTTTTTAAAAATTCACATTTAATTATTGTACATCTTTATCACATATAGTATGGTTTTTCTAATCGTGCATGGAAAGCTCTCTGTTGCTTCTTAATATTCTTAAAAAAATATATAAGACATCTTTGTGAGAGGAGAATGGGACATGAAGTATTTGCACTTTTTTTTTTTTTTAGGGGAAATAATGCAAAAAAAAATATGAGGTCTTTTGCAATCTTTTGCCTGTCATTTAAAGGGACTATAATATTAAACTAGTAATTTGCAATCTGTGATCATTTAATTGTCTTCTGTTTCTTCTCAGGTGGTACCCAAGCAATATGGGTGACTGGAGTGCCTTAGGCAAGCTCCTCGACAAGGTTCAAGCCTACTCCACTGCTGGAGGGAAGGTGTGGCTGTCAGTCCTTTTCATTTTCCGAATCCTGCTTCTGGGGACAGCAGTTGAGTCAGCTTGGGGCGATGAGCAATCTGCCTTTCGTTGTAACACTCAACAACCTGGTTGTGAAAATGTCTGCTATGACAAATCTTTCCCAATTTCTCATGTGCGCTTCTGGGTCCTGCAGATCATATTTGTGTCTGTACCCACACTCTTGTACCTGGCTCATGTGTTTTATGTGATGAGAAAGGAAGAGAAACTAAACAAGAAAGAGGAGGAACTCAAAGTTGCCCAAACTGATGGGGTCAATGTCGAGATGCACTTGAAGCAGATTGAAATAAAGAAGTTTAAGTATGGTATTGAAGAGCATGGCAAAGTGAAAATGCGAGGAGGCTTGCTGCGAACCTACATCATCAGTATCCTCTTCAAGTCTGTTTTCGAGGTGGCCTTCTTGCTGATCCAGTGGTACATCTATGGCTTTAGCCTGAGTGCTGTTTACACTTGCAAAAGAGATCCCTGCCCACATCAAGTGGACTGCTTCCTCTCTCGTCCCACTGAAAAAACCATCTTCATCATCTTCATGCTGGTGGTGTCCCTGGTATCTCTTGCCTTGAATATCATCGAACTCTTCTATGTCTTCTTCAAGGGTGTTAAGGATCGTGTGAAGGGCAAGAGTGATCCTTACCATGCTACCACTGGCCCAATGAGCCCCTCTAAAGACTGTGGATCTCCAAAATATGCTTATTTCAATGGCTGCTCTTCACCAACTGCTCCCCTTTCGCCCATGTCTCCTCCCGGGTACAAGCTGGTTACTGGCGACAGAAATAATTCTTCTTGCCGCAATTACAACAAGCAAGCAAGTGAACAAAACTGGGCCAATTACAGTGCAGAACAAAACCGAATGGGGCAGGCAGGAAGCACCATCTCTAACTCCCATGCACAGCCTTTTGATTTCCCTGATGATAACCAGAATTCTAAAAAACTAGCTGCTGGACATGAACTACAGCCCCTAGCCATTGTGGACCAGCGACCTTCAAGCAGAGCCAGCAGTCGCGCCAGCAGCAGACCTCGGCCTGATGACCTGGAGATCTAATACAGGGTTGAGAGCATCAAGATTCCACTCAACGTGGGGATGAAGCAAAGGTGCTATAGAAAGTGCACCTTAGGTGTTAATTTTGTTCCAGTGGAGGTGGTACTCAACAGCCTCAGTCATGAGGCTTAGAAAACACAAAGACTTTAGGATACCTAGGTTCATTGGGGGTGTCTGGGGTAGGTGGGTGGAGAGGGAGGGGATCTGAGAGGTACATGTTGATATTTAATGTAGTGGATTCAAAGAACTTAAATTCTGAATAAGAGTTCCATTAAGTGATACATAGGTAAGGGCTTTTTCTTCACCACCCTGCCCCCACTGCCTCCTGACACCCCTAAGAATGGTTCTGTGTATGTGAAAGAGTGGGTGATAACAGTGGCTAAATATATATGTATTTTTTGTTTTACCAAGAAACCGAAATAACTTAAGCCAGGAATATATACTCCCTGAACATCTTTTTTCTTTGCAACAACAACAAAAGCAGATGGGAGGATAGTCCTTAATGTCCCTGCTAAGACATTCCAATATTAAAATTTGCACTTTGAAGGGCAGCTTTCTAGGCCTGACCCTCTAGGTGTCAGTAGACTCGTACTACTATATGTTTTATTTTTGGTATCATTAAACATTCAGACAAGGCCCACAGAAAAAGGTTTTCCATGCATTTGCAAATCTCAGCATTCTATATGCATTCTTTTTTCATCCACCTGCATCATATCATTACCATCACTTTTTGATCATTCCTCAACTACTATTCACATTCATTTAATGGTTTCTCTAAACATTTTTAAGACAGTTGGGATGTCATTTAACATTTTTTTGAGTTAGAGTCAGGGAAGCAAGCCATGCTTAATATTTAACAATCACTTGTGTGTGTATGTGTATGGAAGAGTATGTTTTATTTTCATATATTGGTACAAGCAGATGCAGTATAAACTCACAAACACAGATTGAAAATAATGCACACATGGTGTTCAAATTTGAACCTTTCTCATGGATGTTGTGGTGTGGGCCAATGTGGTGTTTACATTTATAATTTTTTAAAGTAAAGCACACTTTTGTTTTTATTTTTTTCCTACAATTTTTTTCCCATGTATCCTATTATGGATATTGGTTTTGTTAATTATAATTCTTTCTCTTTTTTTTTCTCTTGTTTTAGAATATAGCAGTAATGCTATTACTGAAATGAATGATTTCCTTTTTCTGAAATGTAATCATCGATGCTTGAATGATAGACTTTTAGTACTGTAAACAGGCTTTAGTCATTAATGTGAGAGACTTAGAAGAAATGCTTAGAATGGACTATTAAGTGTGCCTAAATGAATTTCACAGTAACTGGTATTTTTGGTTTTGTCCTCTTAATACACATTAATTTAGAACTTATATTCTATTATGAGTTTGACAGTCTTTTGGAGTGACCAGCAACTTTGGTGTTTGCACTAAAATTTTATGCAGAATGCAAGAGAGGTTGAAAGATGTTTCAGTAGTACACATGTAACTAATTTATTTGAACTACATGCTAAAGACATCTACCAGTGTCTGCAAATACATTTTTAAAATTCATCAAAGATGATTGGTGAAATTCTGAGTATCATACTTTCATTCTTGCACGTCAGCTACATAAACAGTTTTGTACATGAAAAAAATACTAAATTTGTTTGACATTCCATGTAGAACTACTGTCATGTTCAGCTTCATTGCATGTAATGTAGACCTAGTCCATCAGATTATGTGTTCTGGAGAATGTTCTTTATTCAATAAAGTTTTAATTTAGTATAATCTCTCTCCTGTGTGATTTTAAAACCTCATTAACTATCTATTTGAGATTGTCAGAGACATTTCCATTGGTTATGAGGACTTAGACAAATAGGATTCATATTTTCAGGGGTCTTTAAAAGGATAATATTCATTAGCTATGTTCATTGTAACATTTATTGTATTTTTGGATATTTATTCAACTGAGAAGGTAAAGTGTGCAAATTTGGAATTTGGAATACAACTTTAATGAGATATGTGGTAAAAGTTTAAAAGAAGGCAATTCTGCCTAATTTAGTAGATTATATCTGACAGAAGAGAAGTAAGCACAACCTAAAGGTATTGAAAAATTTAGTGCTACAAAGACAAAAGTTTAAGATGAAATAAAATAATAAATAGAACAGGGTCAGTTTAAGTATAATATCTAGTGGCAAAGAATTAAGTAGATCTTATTATAAAACATAAAAATGAAGAAAATAAAAATTTTTAAATTCTTAACACCAAGAAAAATAAACTATTCAAAGGGAGTGGAAAAATTCTGGGCAATTTGATAATATTCTTGTGATTTTAAATATAAAATATATTATCAACACAAATCATATGTTAAGAATGCTTTCTAACTTATTAAGCATGTTTACATAAACCTTTATTATCTACTTCAAAGCAAAGCAAACGTCATTATAAGTAAATTACTGAAGCATAAAAATAAGATGTCATCTAGCCCAGTTTGGCTGCTTTATTTATTTATTTTTTGGGGGGAGAGATAAACAAAGGTGAAGTGTCTAAAGTGAGGATTATCCAGTAACCAGATTTTCCCTTCTCACCTTTTTCTTGCCAGAGGGCACATGCCTTCACCAAAAGGAGAGGAGGTGTTAGTGGTTGACTAAATGTGGCTGCTGCTTCTCATAATCAAAATCACACTGGGTGTGTGTGTGTCTGTGTGTGGGTGTGTGCATTCGTACGTACTCGCCAAACTCCTCAGAGGAGAATTGAGGAAAAGAGATTCCAGTGTGGTCATGTCCCCCACTTGGGGGAAGTGGGTGTAATTTCTCACTTTCCCTCTCACTGTCTCTGGTGAACACACATGCCCTGTAACAAACCTAAAAGTAAAATAAAATACAAGCACATACCATTACAAATCATTCCTCATAATTAGAGTCAATCACTTTTTGCTGCGCAATTATCCTGATTCCTTCAAATACCCATTCCTATTTTCTTTTTTCTTTTTTTTTTTGGATAGGTTTTTGCTATAGGGTGTGTGCGCTCTCCAGGCAGACAAAGAGTCAGAGAGATAGAAAGCGAGAAATCACACCCCCCCCCCCAGGGGGGATGGCTTTGCTGCAATCCCTTCTCCGTTCTCCTCTCAGGATCCTGGGCACGCACGCACACGCGCCCGGCATGAGTTTTAAGCCACCGGGTCTGGGACTCAAACCGTAGTCGACTACATGGGAGTCCAGCAACATAGCCATTACGCTCACTGCTGGTCCCCCATCCCTATCTTCTCATCTGACTATTTCTCAAACAGATCTCCTGATGATTCAACATTGATTCATTATTCTCATTAGGGGTTTTTCTGAATTTCAAAATGGTCGTAGTCCTCAAGCTGGCCTGCTAGGAAGCACCCCTTGGTGGGGCATGATTACTATGCTGCAATTCCTTCTCCATTTCTCCATCCTGTTGTGATTTGGGGCATGAGTACACACATTTTGGGCATGCATCCGCAGGCGCCCTATGTGTTTTTCAAGCCACCCTAACTGGAACTTGAACCACATGGTTCATCATCTGGGATCTTATCTCCCTTAACCACCAGGCTATGGGGTTGCCCCTCCAGTCAATTTATTTGGCATGATTGGTGGTATCACATTTTTTCAAGTACTATCATTTGGCTGGTTGAGAATCAGATTAGAAAGGCAAGTTTTCCTCTCTTTCCTTCTCTGTGCTTATATTTTCCCATGGGGAGTAGGATGACATGATTTATCTGAGTTTATGTGTGTATCCTGTTTACGCAGAGTGCATGAAGTGTGGATGGACACATGACTAGACTGCTGAGTGATGATGTGGCAAGATGGAGGTATAAAATAATTTTCTGATGCACGTGTGTGGAGAAGAGAAAACAAACTCACTTTTCTGAAATGGTCATAAAGCCATCTTAACATTTCCTAACTTTAAATCTTTGTACTATTTTTAAATGTTATATATAACATATGAAAATATACTTGAAAATAATATTAAGATATGTATATAACATACATATTATATATAACATAACGTACATATTTTGTACATGTACGCAGCTTAAAAGACTGCAGATATCTAAAATGGAGATCGAACCTCAAATCTGTGTTCTCCAACATATGTGCATGTCAGAGAAGTTCCAGTTCCCAGAGGAAATCACTGGTGAGAATGTCGGACATCCATCATTTTCAGACACCTTATTAAACAGTGGGAATTTGTAGAATGACACCGTTCTTACCTTATGAAGCTTATAATGTTGATTTTTCCAGAAGTTCTAAAAAGCACGTTCCATTCTTCATTTGGCATACCTTAAATGGCTATCTGCTTTTACCAGCTAAAAATGAAATTGAGTTGTATTTAAAAATGATGAGAAAGTGAGATGGACTGTGGGATGGTAGTTGAGGCAACTGGATCCCACATGGATGAGTGGGTGGTTCAAGTCCTAGATCTGTCAGCTTGAAAGGCATGCTGGGTACACGTGTGTGATTGCCCAAAATCCGAAATGAGAAATAGAGAAGGAGGGATTGTGGCATGAACAACCTCCATGGGAAGGTACTTTCTCACCCCTAACCCCCACAATCTCTGTCTACTCTGGTGAGCATACGAGCCATCTGCCAAATAAATTTTAAAAAAGAGTATAAGGGAGTAATGCAACTTCATTACACAAATATTTATTAGACTCATATTTTGCATAAAAGTTTAATGTTTAAAATTGCAACATTTTGAATCTTTCAGAAGCTATGCTGTCTGATGCAACTTTCAGTGGTAATTAAAGGGTTTTAGTCTGTTCAGAACAAAAGCCACTAGGCACTTGAAATGTGACAAATCTGAAGAAATGAATTACTTTAAATTTAATAGCACATGTGACTAGTGGCTACTCTGTTGGACAGCACATTTCTGAGTCTATTGAATAAAAATGTTCTCTAATATTGGTTGGAAATGGGGGAGAGAAGATGGTCAGGTTGGAAACAGAGACACAAGGAAGAGAAACTTCAAGGTTTTTTTTAGGCTTATAATTTCAACAATATTTGTTTTATAAGTAAAAAAAATTCTTATTTTAAGAATTTGTGCCTGGGACCAGCAGTTAGCATAATGACTGTGTCGCTGGACTCCCAGGTAGTCGACCGCGGTTCACATCCCAGACCCGGTGGCTTAAAACTCATGCCGAGTGCGTGTGCGTGCTTGCCCAAGATCCCGAGAGGAGAATGGAGGAGAAGGGATTGTGGCGTGACCACCTCCCCTGGGGGGTGATTTCTCGCTTTCTGTCTCTCTGTCTCTCTCTGTCGGTCTGGTGAGCGCACGCACCCTATAGCGAAAATCTCTCTCAAAAACAAAAACAAAAACAAAACAGAATTTATGCCTGTATGTAGAATTCCCTAGACTTGTGTTAGATAATAATGTTTTACATTACTTAATTATTGTTAAGACATTTTCTCTTGCTGTGTGGCCTTCCTGCCTCACCCTCCCCAGTGGCTGGGACTACATTAGTGCACTACCATGGGTGGTGGGACTTGAACACGGGCTTCCCACACAGTCTCAGCCTACCTATCAGCAGAGTCAGCCAGTGAGTGTGTGCTACCACAGCTGGGGCTGTTACCATTGTTTTAATTCAGAATTGCATATGCAAACCTGTTTGCCTCATTTCAAAAGCAGCAGAATAGTCTTGCATCTTTAGATTAGTAAGAATTTTAGTACCCTTATTTTGAATAGTGCATTCTCGTCCTGCCTCCTGTACATTTTTATTAACCTTCTAGGCCTGTGGTTGATCCTTTACCTTATTTTGTGAAAAGTGCTGAATCTCTCAACCTGCCCATGGTGCCAATTCTCTACCCACACAACTTCAAATTCTAACAGGCAAATACATCTTCTT